GAGGGCTCTTTGGTGTCCTCTGAAGTGTTTTAAAAGGTAGAGTAATTGTGTAGGTGTTACACTGGATTGAAACATAAACGGTCAGCTCTGTGGTCCCCTGTGGGGCCAGCCTCACAGGTTTGTAGTGACTGCATAGTGCCCTACGACATTTGGGTTTGCCATGCTCCCTCCCTCTCAGGCCCAGGAATCAGGCAGACCGGGTCACAAATCTCCGCTCCACCTTCGCTCGTGTGGCCTTCATTCATAAACTCAGCAATTGTTTTCTGAGAACTTGCCCTGTGCCAGGCACTGTCTTCAGTGCTGGGGGAAGAAGTGGTCCTCGCTTCATGGAATGCAGAGTTTGGTAAGGGAGGAGCCATTTATGGAAAAAAAAAACCCACCCAAGAAGACTGTGGCAGATGCTGCTGGTACCTCACTCTGTCCACTCAGTTCTCACGTTTGCGATACACACAGTGTTATCCTGAGATTCTTCACCTAAGGGCCTTCTGTGGTCAGGGCACAGGGCAAGCTGCAAGTGCCAGGGAGTCAACATCCCCAGGAGTAGCCCTCAACTCCTGATCAAGGGAAATCAGAAGAAAATGTCCAGCTCTCTCATCCTGTGGAGTGGAACAACTATGAAGCTTATTCTACAGCTTCCCAAGGAAAACCTGCTCTCCAATGTATGCTTACTCACTTCCCTGCCTTCCCTGAATCAGTCCCCCACTGCCCTGCCAGAACAGTGCTTACCTGCCAAGTAAACTACTTGTATTCAAATCCTATCTCAGGGTCTGGTGCTTGGGGAACCCAACCTAAGACGGGTAAAATTACAAATGGTGATAGCCGCAAGGAAGGAACAGGATGCAGAGCCACATCCCACAAAGTGTTGTCTGAAGTGACAGTTAAGGAGGAGGAGGAGTTGCCTAGTGTGAATCATCAGGATTTGGCAGAATAAACAAAAAGCATTTTGGCAATGTTAAATGAAAAGGGTGAACACAGCAAGCATTCAGTTCTTTGTACTGCTGTGGTCTCACAGGTGCACCAGAATCCATCTTTTCTGATGGACACATGACCTGATTGGCTGGTGCCTGTTTTGTACCAGTTGTTGGATATTTTGACCATTGGTCTTGTAATTACACCCTTATAAAATTATTAACAGGCTTGAGGAGCAGACCTGTAGAATGATTCCACAGAAGCAGCCTGCAAAGGAAGTTATTTCTCTGTTCCCAATTTGGAAGGTGGGAAATGAGGTGGCTGCCATAGGGATTATTGAGCTAAAAAAAACTGACTGCTTGGAATACAGCAATGAAAATGAACAAACTACTAAAACATGATGTTACATCATGAACAAACTTCAAAGACATTATGCTAATTGGCAGAAGCCAGGCCAAGAAACCATGTGTTATATTATATGGTTCTATTTGTATAAAAGGACTAGAATAGGCAAATTTGTAGAGAGAAAGTAGTAAGTGGTTGCCTAGGGCTGAGGATGGGGAGAAAGACTAATTGTAAATGGGCAAAGAGATCTTATTGGGGATCTGAAAATGTTTTAAAACTGATTTATGGTGATGGATGTACCACTAGGTAAACTTACTGAAAATCATTGAATTGCACACCTGAAATGAATAAATATGACATATAAAATAAAATTTTTAATTAATAAAAAAGTTGTTTTAAAAAAAGAGAAAAAAAGGAATATACTACAGTAACTATGAAGCTGGCCAGAAAGCTGCTATCAGCAACTGACTCTAATACTCCCAGAGCTGGACTTTGGATTCCAGAAAGCTGCTGCAGGAACACCACACATCACTGTTGCCTTGCTTTCCAGCAGGAATAGCCAAAGCAGTCTTCCAAATCTCACAAGAGAGCATCTAGCTGCAAAGGAGTCTGGGAAATATAGTCTTTGCATACCAACCTCCTCAATACCGAAAGGTACACTAGGAGGTAACATGGAGAACATGAGAAGTAGGAGAAAAGAGGGCTCTAGACTGAGGGGAGAACATAAACAAAGACCCTAAGATCTGTTCAGGACATTTTAAAAAATGCCAATTGGGTAGGCCATGGTAAGGAGTTTGAATTTCATCCTAGGTGAAATGGAAGCCACTGACAGGTCTTAAGCACGGTTGCCATGATCAGATTTGTACTTCAAGAAGGTCCCTCTGACTGTGTGCGAAGATTGGGTTTGGGAGACAACAGTGGAAGCCAGAGACCCACTAAGAGGCCACTGTAGTCTTGAGATGAGAGATGATGGTAGCCAGGAGTAGAGCGGTGGCAGAGGAGCTGGAAAGAACTGGGTGGACTAGAGACATGTCCAGGACACAATAAAAACTGGATGATAGGGATTAGAGGCATAGAGATAACCCCTGAGTTTCAGACTCAGGAGCTTAGAAAAGTGACCTTACTTCTTTCTTGGTTACCTTTTTTTTAAAATGGGGCGACTATGATGGGCAATTCATTTGTTCAACAGATATTCACAAGTCACCTGCTATGTGCCGTGGATGTAAAAGTGCTTTTCCCAATATCGGGCCCCAGAGGAAATGCTCAGGAAAATTTTCTTTCTCTTTTATTCTTCAAAGCTCAACCCAAGTGTCCTTTTCCCAGGAAGCCTTCTTCAGTTCCACCCCAAACAACATTGTTTTTAACACTCCTAATCTGTGGCCATCAGAGTGCCCATGCGGGGGCTGGACTGAACCAGGGAGAAGGGGAGAACTGCATAAGGCACAAGGCTTTGGGCTAAATAGCAGGTGGGGAGAGGGGGGATGATGGGAAGGGAGAGTCCAAAAGACCTCAAATTTCAAATGTTAGCAACTCCAAGTTCATGTCATTTCTTTCCATGGGGACTTTGTTAATGATCTTCCATTCTGCCCAAAATATCTTTCCTCTTATTTATCCTTTGACTCAGTTTGCATGTCTTCTCCTCCAGGAAGCCTGCTTTACCCAACCACTCCTCATCTGTGTTCATCTTGTATGCTTTGCTCCCACAATCAATACTTCGCACACTGAATGGCCACAATCTGTTTGCTTGTCTCTCTCCCCGCGGGATGAGAAGGTCAGGCTGGGGAATTAAAATAAAAGTGACTTAAAGCTTTCAGCATCCATTCAACAAATACTTATGGAGCACCTACTTCTGTGCCAGGTCCTGACATAGGCAGCTTTGATGAAGGCAGGCACATGTGAGAAGAGAAAGATTAGAAGGATTTCAGTGATGAGGGAACAATGGAGGGGCATTTGTGTTAGTCAGAATTGGTTAAGTCTGGCTGCAGTAACAAACAAACCCTGAAATCTTAGTGACCTAATACTACACAGATTTATTTCTTGCACGTGAGAAGTCTGATGTGGGTGAGCAGTTTCTAACTTCCATCTGCCATTTGAACATGTAGCTCCCCAGACGTCCATGGGAGGAAGAAAGAGGTAAAGGAGGTTCATGGACTATTAACTGCCTCAACCCAGAAGTGACACCCGTCTCTTCACAGCCCATTGGCTAGGGCTAGTCCTATGACTACACCCCAACTGCCAGAGAGGCTGGGAAATGTGGGAAATACATGGACCATCTATCTCTGCCGCAGCGTCCTAGGCTGTGTGAAAGTCATCTGTGTGACAGGGGATTTGGAAGCAGCACATAGACTTAAGGATAAAGCTGCAAATGCTTGGTATGGACTCACAATAAAACTCCAGTGATGAGATTTTGGGGTTTTTTGCTTTTGTTTTTGATTTTTAGAGTGTGTGATTATATTTAAGTGTCTCTAGATGGCCTCTTCAGTTTGCCCCAGTTCCCACCACTCTCTCTTGTCTACACCCAGCCTGCCTCCCTGCCTGGCCCGAGACAGTTCCCTGGTTTGAGTCCCCAACCATAACCTTTGTCTTGATTTCGCCTCTCAGATGACACAGACTGTTGATTCCTGCACAGAACTATGTTAATTACAAAACTGAGCCAGACCAACCCTATCACCAAACCAGGCAAACTCAAGGCAGTGTTCTGAGCTGACTTCTCAGACCTATGGCTCCACCTCGACCAGCTTTGTGTCTTCCAGCAAGCCCTTCCTCTTCTCCAGGCCTCAGTTTCCCCAGTTATCAAATGGGCTCCAGAGTCCCTGTCTACCTCCCCAGCTTGTTCTGAGATGCAGGCAGTGAAGAGGACATTTCATCTTCCAGGGTCCCCGATTCCCTTCTCAGCAGAGGTGGAGAGCTCTAGTCCTATCCCCTCTCAATACTGAAAAGAGAAACCCCAAATCAGCTGAGACAGAACCACAACCACAGAGCTCCAAGATTATCTAGATGTGTGTTTTATTATCATTAGGATGGTTATCATTGATGAGAAGGTGCCTTGTAGGTTATATACAAGCCACAGCATCTAGGATGATGTTTACAAACTCCCACACACATGTTTATCCCACATATTCCAGGGCAATGTTTACATATCCCCACACACATTTATCCCATGACTACCACACAACACAGTACCACAGGGTGTCTCCATCTAAAATGCTCCCCCAAGCAGAAAACAAGCATAAGTCAGGTGCTGCCACCCGCAAAAATACCACACAAGAAGGGGAGGAGACCTTTGGTTCTGGGGGCAAGTCTACATGTGGCAAAGCCTGACGCATGGGACATGGGATGGAAGCCAAATTTGGACATCACCACTTCAATTGCCCCCCACCCTACCCCACTGGCTACTTGCCCCAGAGGAACTCTGCCTCTCTCTGAGAATCACTTAGAAAACACAGAAGGGTCATCTTAGCCAGGGCTAAGGCAGGGGAGCAGGCCTGCGGGTAGGAGAGGGTTTCTGGGATCTGCCCCCTTGCCAGCAATGCGAAGTGAAGTAATGTAGGTTTTTAACTCAAGATGATTTTCCATGTCCCTGACGGAGGAGGGCACAGCCAGGAGTTTGGGTGTGTGCATACAGGGGGGTTCAGGTTTATGATGAGGGATCTAAGAAGGAGGGAAAGAGGGGGTCAAAAAGGGATAGGGTTCACAGGGCTCAAGACCTTCTTAGACCCCAAGCTCAACTTTACAAGAAACTGTGCTCACTCCTCCAGGGGCTCCGTGGTCCAGGCTGCCCGCCGCCCTGGGTGCTGCCGCTTCTCCTCAGGCCCCTGACCCCTGCTCAGGTCATCCAGGAGCCCCAGCAGGAGGCTGGCTTGACCACAAGCTCCCTGGAACCCACATGGGCCTCCCAAGGCTCTCTTCCCTGGATGCTGGCGTTTCTCAGGCATCAGCTCTCCCTCCTCCTCCTCTTTTTCTTCCTCCTCTTCCCAGCTCCTTTGGGCAACGGGATCCACCAGCCGTTTGCCTGGGTGCTGCCTCTTGGTGAAAGTATACCCCAGCCAGGAGGAGCGCCGGCCAGGGTGCTGCCGCTTCTGTTGGGTCACATCAGCTGACCAAAGAGCTGCATCCTCCCGCCGGCCTGGGTGCTGCCGTTTATGGGGCCCCACAGCCCCTCCTTCTTCCTCCTCCTCTTCAACTCCCTCTTCTGCCTCCTCCTCCCTTTTGCCTGGATGCTGACGCTTAGAGAGCCAATCAGGCTGAAAGATCTGGGACTCTGTGGAAGGAAAGAGGCCAGTGAGGGACCCCCTGACCTCTGAGTGCCCACTCCCGTCTTCCCCCCAGTCAGGGTAGAAAGTCCTGCAACACTCGCCCACTCACCCAGAGTCATGGCCTTGCATCTGTCTCTCAGGGCCCACAGGCACACACAGGCAGATGGTCAAAGGCATGACTTCCTGTTCCAATCCCAACTCTGCCACTCCCTAGCTGGGTGACCATAAGCAACGCACTTAACCTTTCTGAGCCTCAGTTTTCTTTTGTGTAAAATGAGGGTTAATAACAGTATATATCTAAGGGGTTGTTAGGAAGATCAACCTCTACGTGCGATGAGGTGTTTGAAGGACTTAGAACAGCGACTGCCTGGCAGATATACGCCTCATAAGTGGTGAACACTCAGACTCTCTCCCCAGCACAGAATCTTCCCCTCTGAAGATATGCTCTCTGTGAAATATTTCCAGAGCTGAGATGCAAGAAGAATCTGGTCCCAGAAAAGCGCCAACTCGCGACCCTGAGCGGGGTGTGGCCAATGAGAGTTTCTGAGAACGAGGCTAGAATACCGAGTCCCTCCTCTGCTCTGGGCTTCCCCCAGCCCTCTCCTCCGCCTCCTGTCCCCTGGGCAGCCCGGGACAGACCGGCCTCTCACCTAATTCGCGATTTCCCTGGACCCCTCCCAGCCGCTGGAGGTCTTCCCGAAGGAGGAGGAGACGCTCTGCCTGGCGCAGGAAGTCGTCCAGGCCCGGGTGCTCTGCAGCCATCGCCGCCTCCTGCTGGACCACCTGGGCCTGTGTGCGGCCTCCGGGGACACCGGTCAGGGTCAGGGTCAAAGCCATGGCGAGCAGCAACCAAGGGCCAGGCATCCTGGAGCCTGGGGTTGGGAGGACAGAGACAGAGCATAAGCCCACCGCGCCCCACTCCCAGTCCGCTGCATCTCCTCCTTTCCTGCCCCAGCAAGTTCCCTGAGGCCGGAGTAGTAAACCACTTCAATACACCATTCAGAGAGCAGGACCACCTGCCACCTTGGAGTGGGGACAACAGGAGGATCTGCCTCGGGCTCCAGGTAGCCTCACCCATAGAGATGCCTGGAGCGCCTGCCCGCACCCAATTCTGCCTGTGCGAGGCAGGAGGCCGTGGGAACACGGACGCCACCAGCACCCCCCTCCGTGTTCCGCGGAGCTGGGGCGGCCCCCGCTAGGACAGGCTGGGCAGAAGTGTAACAAAGCCTGCAGCGCCGGCCCGACGGCCAGGATGCTCCCGCCGCGTCGCGGGCTAAGATTCGCCTTGAGGTTCCCACCGCAACATTCTTCTCTCATCTTTCATCACCGTTCTAATTCCAACGCTAAGACACTATTTCTAATGCTAAGATTTTATGACTAAGCTAGGAATCGAAATCTGACACTAAGATCCCGATTTCATCGTTAATTCCAACGCTAAAATTCTATTTCTAGCGCGAGACAGAGAGTCTAACACTAAATTCGATTCAATCGCGAAAATTCCATTTCTGACGTCGGGATTCGGATCCTAACTCGCCGGCTCTCACGCCGACGCCCGGACGGCCTCGCTGCGCCTCCGCGTCCGGACACCGACCGGCCGCTGGCGGGCGGACAGGGTTGGGGTGGCGACTCCTCCCTGCGACTCCCAGATGCCGGGACGTGAGTGCCCAGGAGTGACCGCCACCGGCGTGCCCACTCCAGGGAAGACCGGGGACGCGAACGCAGCGCCCCGCATGTGCGCCGATATCTGCAGCGGCTTCTCCCGGAGCGCACCGGAGGGCGGGAGGAGAGGGGCCCCCTTTCCCGGACGCCGCCGGCAGAGGCAGAGGGACAGAGGTGGTTACCTGCCGAGCGCGACCTCCGCGGGACCTGTCCGGGATCCTGGGGCTGAGAGCCTGGCGTTTTGGGGTCTGGAGGCGGTGGGTCAGGAGTCCCGGAGCGCTCGCAGGACCCCGGACGCCGGCGCCCGCTGCGCGGCCGGCCGCTGCTTATATCCGCGCGAGGCAGCGGCGCGGGTGAGGTCAGCGGGGAGGGGTCGCGGCCACCGGGAAGGGGCGCTGACGGCAGCCGGCCCCGCGGGTACCCCGCCCGCAGCCCTGCCAGCTCCTCCGGAAACCTGGGGCGGGGGCGGCAGGGCGGGAGGGAGAGCGAGCTGACACAAGCCGCAAGACGGGGGACTGGTGCGGGTCATTTCTGCACCCAGCTCTGAAGGTCTGTTGTCTAAGAAAACACTCGTGCGGGGACAAAGAGAGAGACACAGAGAATTGGGACAACTGTAATAGAACAACAATGTAAAAATTCACAAAATTTCGAAAACATTAAAAAATAAAAATAAAGATAAAAAGAGACACATGGGAGAAAATAGGAGATAAAGACAAACACTGAGAGATGCACACAGAGAGATACAGCGCAGGCACAGGCCATTCACGCCAAAGAGACAAAGAGACAGAGACACAGAAGGAGCAAAGGAGGAAGAAAGAGGTAGAGCGGGAGAGGGAGAAATTAGGGGACAAGTGGGATCTCAGCTCTGATCTTGACTGTGTCACCTCTGGCAAATGCCTCCCACCCTGTGGGCCTCAGTTTTGGCATCTGCACCGTGTGGGAGGGGGACAGTTTGCAGGATGCCAAATCTAGTGGGCCACCTCCAGTTTACAGACTGTTTTGTGTGACTCCCCCAGTTCTTATTTTTAAAAACCTGAATAATCAACAATTTTAGAAAGATTTTATTAATTTTTAGAGAGAAGGGAAGGGGGGGAGAAAGAGTGAGAGAGAAACAACAGTGTGAGAAAAACCAGTCAGTTCCCTCTCATACGCACCACCTGCCCCCATCCCCCACCCCACAACCCGGGCATGTGCCCTGATGGGGAATCCAACCAGCCACCTTTCCCTTCGCAGGACAATGCCCAAACAACTGAGCCACACTGGTCAGAGCTGAATTACCAACATACAAAAACCAGAGAACTTGGGGAAAATATGGGTTTATAACTTCTCTTGGAAAAGAGTGGACCTACCCTTCTACCCTGGCTGCCCCTGGTCACCACACTCTCCTCTACTCCTTCTGTCTCCCAATGTGTTGCCCCAGTCACCAAGAAGAGACACTGGAGTTGGTGGCTCCTGGACCAGAAATTTGTGGGGGGTCCACCCTACCCAAGGAAAAGAGGGGAAGGAATATTGGGAAGAGAAAAGCATAGATGCCAAGGAGCTTGGGCACCATCCACCCCCCAAAGTCACATGGTACCTTGGAAGAGAATTCTCCCACATCCAACCTGAAGCATTTAATGGCTCCCTTGTCAGTCCTGGAGACACAGACGTTAACCTGGCCCACTTGGAACGACATTTTAGACAGAACATCATCTGTGAAGGCATCTCCTACCTCTGGATAATAATCCTAAGTGTTTTGCCTCCACAGTCAATATTTCTTTAGCCTAACACTTTAACTGACTATCTGTTGCATGCCCAGACCATGTTAGTGGTCTGGCAAGGGATTCCAAAAGTATTTAATTATTACTCCTTCCCTTTGCAAAGCACTCAACCTTCCTGGCACGTCCACTATCTCATTGCATCATCACATTGCCCAGCAAGATAAACAAGGTAAAGACTATTAGTCCCACTTTACAGATAGGGACACAGAGGCCTGGGGAGGCCTGGGGAGGCAGAGGCCTGGGGAGGCGTCGGGAGGCCTTTCTTGAAGGTTAGAAGCGGTAAGGAACTTTCAGATCACCAGCCCGAGTCTTCTCCTCATTTTTAGATGAAGTCACTGAGGCCTGGAGAGGTGATCTGATCGGCTTCCCAGCTTCGAGGCACACTTTGTGCCCCCAAGTCCAGATGTTTGGCTGGGGTAGGTTGCACACCCAGGCTTGTTCTCTCAGCCAGACTCCAGAATTTGAAGAATTGCCAACCAGTTAAGCATTTAGTCAGACGGACAGACCTGTTATCTTTCACATACCATCGTGGAGGTGTAAACTGATACAACCCCTTTGGGTGGCAACCTATTTAAAACATATGTACCTTCCACAAGACAATTCCATTTCTCAGAATTCATCCTACTGACACCCACATCTGTGCATGAGGATGGGTACACACAGGATATTCAGTGCAGCATGGTTTATAGAAGCCAGAATTGGAACAGCCTGATGTCTGTCTACCAGGAGGCATCTGCTTAAATCAACTAGGGTTCATACAGAACTACGGGATACCATTGAAGCTTTAGGAGAATGGGGCTATTCCATATGTACAGACGTGGAACAAGCTCTAGGAAAAAAGTGAAAAAAGCAGAGCGGAGAGCAATGTTTACATCGTGTACATCTGTGTGGGGGCGCGGGAGGTGGGCTAGTATACTCTAATGCAGAGACTCTCTGTTGGGGTGCACAACTGCCATGCAGAAGGGGAAGTGGGGAGCCCAGGCATAGGAGGACAGTGCAGGAGGGTTGGAATTTTTTCTCTGTGCAGTATTACCTAACCACAAATCAACAAACAGCACAACACAAAGCAAAACAAAACTCAAATATCTTTGAGTCTGAGGCTCAGGAGTTTTAAGTGCCTGGTAGAGGGCAATGTGGCTGGAACTTCGCCGCCCCCACAACCCGTGCGCCCATATGATGCATTTCTATAATCAGAGGTTTGAGTTGCCTGTTAGGAGGAGAGTTCCTAGACAGCAGAGGAGGAGGAAAGGTAGTTCCTGCATAGCCCAAGGGACCAGAGGGGATCGTACAGGCATCTGAAGTGCTCTCAGCAAGCCAACTCTCTCCCTCCCTTCTTCCTTCCTTCCCTCAGCAAATATTCACTGAGCCCCTAGTGTGTAATAGACCTGTTCTCGACATTAGGCACTGTATTAACCATGTGTTTCTAATGCTTGACCTCTGGGGTCTTGCTGACTCTGGAGAGGCAGCCACGCCCAGATTTAGCCAATTCCTGGTGATGGTAAGGAACTGACCTGGAAGCGCCTTTCATAGGCAAACAGACCCACCCAGAGCCCACACCCCTACCACTTGCTAGGCTACCATCTTCTTGCCCTAATCACGCAGGGCCAGGTATCAAACAACTAAGGACAGCCTCTACGCCCCAGAGTTTACTGAAGTTATTTAAATTTGATTTGCCAATCCTAAACCTTCTGACCCACCCCTCCAATCCCCCGCCGATTCCTTCCTGCAGAAACCGCAATAAAGGCTCTTGTCCATCTTTCCCCCCACTCCCTGCACCCTCTGTCCCCTGATGGATCCTAGTGCTTCCCCATGTGGCCCTGCATGGTGTGGTGTGGCCCCTCCTCGTAGGAACTGTGAGTAATAAGCTACCTTTCCAATAGCGGCCATCTCCTGATCAATTGGCCTCACCATGCCTAAATAATAATAAAACCTACATTTAAAACAGGAAGCTGAGAGTCCAGTCATTATGTTGCATCTGTTTTTCTTTTTCTTTTTTTTTAATTGATGGGGGGAGGGGGAGAGAAACATCAATTTGTTGTTCCACTTTATTTATGCATTTATTGGTTGAATTATATGTGCCCTGACCAGGAATCAAACCCACAACCTTGATTATAGTGATGACGCTCTAATCAACTGAGTTACCCAGTCAGGGCTATATTTTTTATCTTCTTTTTTTTCTCTGACAATACAAATATATTTGTACTGTAGTTGCTTATCAGATTAATACAGTTATGCTTTTGGAAATGAATAATGGGGTAATTTAATGGTGAGTTTGTGCGCTATTTCTAACTCCCAGTGCCTACCCCCACCCCAACACACACACACCCACACGCGCACACATCCCCCTTCTTGCAGGAGGCCTGTTGAGTTCTGGATGGGCTCTGATGTTCCAGACCCAGCCTCCCTTGAGTTTTCTCCCAAAGCCCTTCTGCTCCCTGTTCAGAA